TTTTCTTGTAGTACCACTGTTGAATAGAGGCTCGAAAAAACTCCATTAACATAGTAATGGGTAATTTCCGGGAATGACGACTTAGAGCGTTGATTGATTCTGCACTATTAGACGTCATGAAACCATATCTTGCTCCAAGTTGATGTACTCTTGACCATCTTTCAAACCCGACATCTTCTAGTGTTTGAGCACACTGAGGCAAAACATGTCTTAAACAGTTTATATGCTTATTAAAATCCACTTCCCGATAAGCTTTTACAGCCTTCCAGTATGTCCATTTGTGATTTTTTATACCAGCAGACCTTGATTTTAGATTTCTATACAAATGAACACCACAAAGTCCATAAAAAGCATCTGGGAAATACCTTCTAACAGCGTTGTCAATTGAGTTTGCCCTATCGGATATGATTGTCAGATTGCTAATAGGACCTATGTAATCCCTAAGATGCCCCATAAACATGTCCATGAATCAGAGGTTTCATATTTTCCAACCCCATAAGCTATTGGCAGTATCCCATTGTTAGCATCCATGGCTACTGCTAATAAGTTTACTCCAAGGTATCGACCTTTTAAATGTGCTCCATCAACTATAATAACTGGGCGCATGCAATTAATAAACGAACGAATCTACAAAATCATATACACAAGAAATATAATCATTTAAATGTGAAATGCATATAACTAACAAAAATGAGTCAACAAAATTATATTGATTTACTAACCGCAGCACCAATGGCGATAAACAACAACTCAAAGCATCCATCTCTATCTGTTTTGATATGAGTTACCGACCCAGGATTTTTCAGCTTTAAATTGTGCCAATAAGCCGGCAGTTGGGCAAACGATGCTTCTGGCGACCCCCTCAACAATTCCAAGGCATAACATTTGGCTCTCCAAGCTTGAGAATATGAGATACTAATCTTGAACCGAGCATTCATGTCAGTCATAATTTCATGTCCCCGATATACCCTACCATTCAAAAACATTAACTCAGCCAGAAAACCACCCAACACCTTTTTGTTTACCTGTCTATGGTGAGGAAAAACTTGGGTTCTTGAACATGTGTGTTTATCAATAAAAGTCCTAACTTGAAACATTTCGCAATCTTTTATCCTCTTTACAATCATACGCCACATACAATTTTTGTCAATCATACACCTTGTTTCGAAACGATTTTTGCTTGATTTGTTAACTTTTAGTTGATAGCCATCTTCCACACATTTCGTATACAAAGCTATCTTCAAGTCTTCCTTTGTATCAAAACAATCATCTTTCTTGATACGAATAATTTTTGTGTGACAATCAACTGCTATCTTTACCAACTCTTCTTCCGGTATCTGAAGTAATTCTGGCATATTCCAGTTATACTCCCGTGGCATTTTCTTCGGGGACTTTTCTTTGGGGATTTTTTCTTCTTCTTTTTCTTCTTCAGTGTTATATAAATTACAGAATGAATGTTTAACATGTTCATTTACAGTCGTCACTTCCTCCTCATTATCATCAACAACATCTTCCTCGGCAACGGCTGTTTCATCATCAAAATTCGGGTATTGACCAATATCAAAATCATTACACGCATGGTCTGTTTCTTCTTCTGAAAAATCATTAAAATCCGAGTATTGACCAAGATCAAAGTCCGGGTATTGACCAAGATCAAATTTGGAATACTGACTAGTACTCACATTTTTTTTTGTTGGCTCATCATCGTCTAACTGGTCAATACGAAAACCGGAATTTGGTGCTGAAAGTTGATTGGTATTTGGATTAGGGAAAGGTTGTGGGTTTTGAGATTGTGTTTGGTATTTGAAATGTGGTGAAACAATATTTGCTTGGTGATAAAATTGTGGTGGAACTATTAAATTTTGAGCATCATAAACTGGGGTTGAAAAACTTAGTTGATTACTACCCGCTACTGACCCAACTTCACTACTTCTAGGTTCAACAACATACAATGTAACATCATCACTTGAAACACTAATGTAAGCAATGAATCGTTCAACATCTTCATTGTCGTTAACAAATAAACTTTACCATTTTTCTGATAAGATAGCCTAAATCCACTTAGGGGCTCTAAATTCAATTTATTTGTAACACGTAACATTAGATGATTTCATTATTGTAAATTAATTTACTAAACACCATGAGCATTCTCACATTACCCTCCAAAACACAAATCTATCCAAACACGATCAACATTAGATGATTTCATTATTGTAAATTAATTTACTAAACAAACGAGCTGCGAAACTAAAACCTGTTGCCGGATGGGGAAGGATGTCGTTGGATATAGGAACGGATGTCGTCGGAGAGAGTGATAGATAGAGATGGAATGAGTTGCGATTTAGGGATTTAGGTTATGAGTTGTTGCTGCTGCGTATTTATATACCCAAAACATTTGTGTTGCAAAATTAAAACCTGTTGCGAATTCAGAAATCGAGTTGCGAATTTGAAATTCAGTACTGCGATAGTCATAATCTCATTGCGATTTACTAAATCGCAATGCGATTACGTAAATCGTAATGCGGTTACGTAAATCGCAATGCGAATTAGAAAAATCGCAATGCGAATTAGGAAAATCGCAACGCGAATTAGGAAAATCGCAACGCGAATTTGGGAAATCGCAATGCGATAGTCAGAATCGCGTTGCGAATCTGGAAACTGATTTACGATACCGGATATCGTGTTACGAATTATCGATCGCATTGCGATTTAATTGGTCATTTTGACAAATCTAAAAAAAAATAATTAAAATCGTATATTATAAGACATTTTTAGTCACTCAGGTTATTTTCTCATTTCAAAATCATATAAAATCTTCCCTATCAGCTCTGGCTCCCATCCTCATTGTGCTTTATCCTAAAAGATAATTAACAAATTAAAAAAAAGGAAATGTTCTGACAACGAGTGGATGAAGATAAGAGTCGCCAGTTGCCTTTATTCAATCCAATCCCCGACATATATATATATATATATATATATATATATATAAAATTAACTACAACAGACAAACAATTCCCAAATCCATCTCATCCCCTTCCTTCATATCTGCGTTTGATTCCCTTTCTCTCTTTGTTTTTTTTTGGTTTGCTGTTTTGGGTGGTGAAAGATTGAAGATTCAACCATGTCGATCGCGTTGGACAGGATCGAAACACCTGGGTTTGGGCACGTTATGAGGTGCGCCTGCGATATTTCCAGATTCGAATACCCGCCGTCTCCGGTGAAGGAAATGAAGCGGTTGTCGAAGGCGGAGGAGGTAGAAGAGGACTGGAGAGGTTCTTCGTCCTCGACGTCATCATCTTCGATCGGGAGGAATAGCGATGACGACGACGACGTGTCTGGGAGATCATCGGACGGTGGCGATTGCGAGGAAAACGAGGTTCAAAGCTCTTATAAAGGTCCTTTAGATATGATGAATTCCCTCGAACAGGTTCTGCCCATGAGGTAAACAAAACAAATGCTTCCTTTTTTTGTCGATTTTGATCGATTAACAAGCTGAAATAAAATCTGGGTTTCTGTTTTTTGAATCTCACAGAAGAAGCATCTCGAGTTTCTACAATGGAAAATCGAGATCATACACAAGTTTAGCAGAAGTGAACTCAGTTTCCTCCATTAAAGACATAGCAAAGCCCGAGACTGTCTACACGAGAAGAAGACGAAACCTATTAGCAATCAACCATATATGGGACAAAAACAGGAGCAAAAGACTCATTCGACCAATAAGTTCAAGCAAAAGCTCATTGGCACTTGCTGTTGTGATGAGCTCCGAAACCGATAGCTTTTCAAGCACAGGCGAAGATTCTTCATCGACTTCGAGCCCCCGGTTACCTCCATTGCACCCGCAAACGAGAACGGCCGTGTCGTCGCCGTGGCGGTCGTTCTCGTTGGCCGATGTACGTGAATATAACTAACCTCTCTTTAAGGAAGAAAGATGGATGATGATTTGTGAATATAGTTGTTATTACACGGGGTTTGATACATTTTCATGATTAGCTCCTTGTTGATCTTTGTTTAAAAGGGGAGAAACTGTTGCCTTCAGCAAGTTGTTGTTAGTGTGTAGTTTCCTTCATGATCATGATGCTGAACCATAATTTGATTTGAATAATGAATCGGTACTTGTAAACTCGATTAATTTAATATTTTTAATCGACTCAATTCGAATCACACGAGGCAATCGCCATATGAGACCTTTCTAAATGCTTGTATAAAGCTTATAGGACTTGCCTAGAGTAATTACAGCTCAAAACTTTAACCACATGAAGATTAACTTAATTACAACTAAATAAAACCAGAATGAACACAGTTCACAAGCTTATTAAGACGGCATTAAAGCAAATCAATGGATACCAATCGTACACATGAAATCAGGGATGGACAGACTGAGATAGTTACTCTTCAAAATTTTAAATTAAATATTTTATTTTTTATTTAAAAAATATCTTATTATTTTAAAATTAAAAGTTTGTTCTTGTAACACGAAAATCTGTCTATTATGTTCAAAAATGATAGGGGCATCGGTGTATTATAGCAGATTTCATTCGGTTTCTTTGCTAAATATTATTTGTATAATGCGTAAATTATAGGTTCAATTTTTATTGTAATTACCATTTAAATTGTAAATAAGTATATAAAGTATTTAACTTTTTTATCTAAATAAGTATATAATATTTTTCATTTAAGTTTTAAAAAATTAATACATAACATTAATTAATGAATATTTTAGGTACTTGAATGAAAAAGATAATACATTATTATGTTTTAAATACTTATTTTAATTAAAAAAATATTTTAGATATTTATTTTAATTAAAATAATAACTTTAAGTGTAGGATTTAAAAAGATTATATTTTAAATATTCATTTATGATATAACCTAAAATTAACTAAATTAAAATGTAAGATTAAGTTCATAATTTATACATAGTAGTTAGTACATGGAATAGTGATAGAATTTGACCTTAAATTATTGTGGCAACCAGATTTTTCAAATACCGTTAAAAGACATGAACTAACGGATAAGAATCTTTTTTTCATATCAGTGATATTCTCCGGCGACAAGTCCACCGATGTTGTGTCGAAACGGCGTCAACTGGCGGCAACCCATTCCGTCGCTTTCTCCCGCCGCTCCTCGTACTTCATCCTCCAACTCAACCACCTCGAAATCAAAGCAATTCTCGGTCAGGTCTTCCGCCTCATCACCGAAATGGCGGAAGAGCCGGCAGTCGGTCTCAATATCTCTGTTTCTCTCTCACTTCCTCCTTACACCCAACTGTAGGTTTTTATTTATTTATTTTCATTTATGAACCTATCACTATCAGTCTTGCAAAGAGTTACTTCAAAGCTAAAATTATAAGATATTATTTTTCATTATTCCCACGCAGATGCTACTGCAGGTAGCTTTTTGGATAAATACGTGAAAAAGTAATCACTAATCACTTACACCCTTTTGAATCTCTATATTGTACTTTCTGGGTATTATTTATTTGGTCATTTTTGTGTTAATGATATGTAATTTAACAGGAAAAAGCTGGATCCGCTTGAGGTTTATGTACCTGCTGTTATATTGACTCAGTTACAGATTAAGGACCTAGGTAACTCTTCAATTGTGATTTGTTATCTTGATTTTGAAAGGGGAATTTCATAATTAAACCTCGTTCTTGTTGCTTTAGTAGGGCTCTAAATCACCAAAGCTTGAATGAATGAGCCTCCTGTGTTCATTGTTTAGTTTTAAGTTTGTTTGTGCTCGGTTGGTGTTTATTAGGAATTTTAAAATTATGTTTGTATTCCTTCGTTTAAACAACACATGTTCGCGAACATTAAACAAACATGTTCATAGGTATAGACTAGTTTTAATTTATTATTAAATGAGCTTGAAACGAATATAAATGAGCTAAACATGTATTGTTTATGTTCAGTTCGGTTAATAACGAGCCTCAAAATATTGCTCATATTCATTTTGTTTTGCATGATAAATTAATCGAACCAAACTGTTCATGAATGCTTCTTTTACTGGATGAGTGATGCTCTTGCTGGATTTTGATGATGACCTTTGTTTATCCCAGTAAATGATCTCCCGGTTCCTGCTTTTTAAACCCCTTTTAATTTTATAATCCTTGCATATGTCATGGATTCATTAAATAAAGATTGAAGAATGTGGTGAAACTTGTAATTTATAATCATCTAATCATTGCAGAGAAAACTTTGGAAGTTGATGATAAACCAGAATATGCAACCTGCAGATCCCTACTACGTTCCGGTCCGGCTGCATCTCTGCGTGTAAATATCCGAGCTGTAAGTCAAAGCATTGTAGATAGTTGTCTGATCTTCTCGTTTCCTTTTTACATTACTTGTTGCACTTTCAAGAATTCATTCCATGATGAAGGGTCTACGAACAATCGAGTTTCAAAAAAGAGAAGCATTTGCATTTCTGAGAACTATCAACTTGATGAGGAAATTTTGTTCATTTCCTTTATTTCTATCTGCATTTGTCATTCCCTTTTAGTTTTTTGACAGTTTTTTTCTTCCTTTTTGGTATTATACTAAGTTCCTGAGGTTTTGAACAATGTTCCTCGGATCTTCAGGTCGCACAGTATGCTTCTGATGCTGGGAACGGCGAAAATGCTTTCAAAGACGTTGATCAATGTCTCAGGTATTCTAATTAAGCTACGGATGAAAGTTTTGAAAATTTATGTTCAGTTTAGACTAAGGATGGCAACAGAGAAGGTGGGGGCTGGGATTGCCTAGTTCACTTCCCTTCCAGGTTTCAACATCCACATTCATAGAAAGCAATTGTTCACATCGCTTTACCTCACTTCTTTTTACTAATCACTTTTCAATCTAATATTATAAAATATATATGTTTATGAACATGATTTTAGTATACAAAACTGTTTGATATGTATATAAAGTATAAATATGTACATAAATACAACATATTCACACATTCGATAATTTTAGTATCTATGTTTAATATAAATACTATAAGCTGTAACTTTTAAAGTTGCACAAAGTATTGTAGAGCGAGCATTAACTGTACTTATCCCACTCCACTTTGGGTATCCATTTTTTTTAAAGAAAGGAAAACTCCCCATTTAAGGTGCATCTATACGAAATCCATGGAGCAGCTTGGTTTTCACATCCTTAACATGACAATCAAGTAGGCTAGATTGGTTTTCAGACTTTAGTTCAAGTAAATTTTGAGTTCAAGTTATTCAGGTAAGGTCCCTGACTCATTGTAGGTTAAGATTTCGAGTTCAGGTTTCAAGTCAGGCCATTGTAGGTTTAGATTTCGAGTTCTGAACACTTCATTTTGAGCTATATGTTTGAATCATTTTAAGTTAATGTTATTTTGGGGACAGATCGCTTTGAGTTCACATTATTTTTTGTTCATTTTAAGTTCAGGTTATTTTGGATACTGATCGGATCGCTTTGAATTCACATTATTTTTGGGTTCAGTTGGACTGATATGGATTATTGACTTATTCTGATCAATTTGTGATGAATTTCATTTTAGCAATTCTATGTCTTTCAAACAACCAAACTTTGACAGCAATTTAATCAATTCTTGTTGTATGACTAGAGCATTGGAGGAACTAGACTCCTTGATGCTACATGCCTCAAGAAATGAGCCAGATGCCTCGGTAAAAGCAATGAAGGCACATATTGGTACTGCCCTCAGTGCCCTTGATAGGTATTATTGCTTTACACTTGCCATATACATATACTATCATTGATGCCTCCGCGTTCTCGACAAGCAAAACTTCATTTCCTTATATACGCACTTTCCATTGGTAGCCTGCTTCAAACAGTTCCAACCGATGTTTTAACTCAAGGAAAGGAAATTGCTGATGCTTATCGAGCCACAGACAATGTGTTCAAGCAGCCTCGGGACTTAGACCCGGAAATGACACAATTGGAATCGATTCTATGATACGAACAGATTACGTGCATGATCTACATAGAAAATTTATGTATATGCACTATAATTACCTGAATGTAGACCCTAATACTGAACTTGTGTGTAATATTTGATTATCAATCTCAGAAAATAAGAAAAATTAACCAATGCTGTGTGTCGTAACCGGTTTTCGTCCGGGCACGAAATATTTATTCTCGGCGGGAAAATTGATGTGAATAAATGGTTTTGAAAATAATTTGGGAGTCGCCATCGGCCTTTTGGGTCAGGTAGGTCGAATACCTAAAAAATATCTTTTAAAAGAGTTTTTAAGAAAACATCAATTAAAAGATAGATTGATCTGCGTTTTAACCAAAATTCGTTCTTTTTAATAATAAAAAGGGATTCGTGGTCGGTAACGGTTAGGGAAGGATTAGCACCCCTACAACGCCCAAAATTGGTACTTTTTAATTATAAATTGTCTCTATTATTATTAATTTAAAAATTCAAAGATATATTTAATTCATAATTCTACTATTTCAAATAATTTTAAGAAAATATATTAATATACATAAATAAGATATTTACTTATTTAGAAATATCAGAAAAGGGCTTCTAGGTACCTTAAGACAGCTCTTTTCTTCGATATTAAAAAATAAAATAAATAACTAAAAATATTTTCTTAAAAAATAAAAATTAAATATTTTATTTATTTATTTAAAAATATCATAAAATGGCTTCTAGGTGACTTAAGACAGCTCTTTTCTTTGATATTAATAAATAAAAATAAATATTAAAAATGTAATAAAACTAAATTATAATTTTTATAATATTTAGATATTTAAAATACCAGAATAGGACATCCAGTTGTATTAAGACTGCCCTTTTCTTTGATATTGAAAATAAATAAACATTATTAAATAATAAATAATATATATATTTATAATATAGTAAAACAATAATTAAAGTAATGATTTAAAATATATTAAAAAATAATAAAAATTAAATTAAGTTAAAATATAACTAAACAATGACTAAAATAAATAAAATAATAATAAATGTAAAATTATTTAAATTAATGAACATAATTCGAATCATCATAAAATAAAATTACTAATAGTGTAATTAACCCTTAATTAATTAATCAGTGATTAAAATAAAATTTATCAAAGTTTAAAGGCTCTATCTCGAATAAATAAAAATTCTAAGTGCTAAAAATGTAATTTAGCCTTATTTAATTAATCGGGTTAAAATAAATGTTAATAAAATTATAAGGTACTAAATCAGTTATTTACCCTAAATATATATATAAACTGATAATGACTAAAATGTAATAAAATAAAATTGAATGACATAATTAAAAGAATCAAAAATTGCTTTTAGTGACTAAATTGAAAGGTATACAAATTTGGAGCACTGCGGACGGGGTTTACCCTTTATGAAATTACAAAAATACCCTCCCCAAAATGACGTCGTTTGGGGAAGGTTTTAAATACCCAATCGGCCGGCCCTTATGTGCCATCTTCCTCATTTCTTTCTTTTCTTTCTTTCTCTGAGAGAGAAAACTCTCTCTGCTCTCTCTAAACTCTCCCCCGGAGAGAGAGCTGACCACCGGCCGGCAACCATGATCCGCCGCAAGTTCCGCCGCCGGCCACCGCCTCCGGTGGTCGGAAATTCCCAAATTTACCTAAAATATAGATCTAAACGCTCTAAGACCGATTCCGGTCTTTGTTTTCCCTAAAAACCCTTAGATTCCTGTAGATCTAATTTTTTTACCTTCGAAAAATGAGACTCCGGTGACGCTTGGGATTTCCGGCAATGAGCGAGGCTTCAAGGGTAAGTTCCTCTTATTCTCTTCGTTTCTGTTTTGGTCTGGTTGTTGGTTGCTGTTCGTATCTCTCCCTTTTTGTTCTCTCTTCGTCTGTTTCTCTGTTGTTCTCCGTTGCTCTCTGTCTGTCTTTCTTGCAGGTGTGGTGGCTTTTATAGCCACCACCGAGGCTCTCGTCGGACCGGACAATAGAGGGTCGAGTTTGGTGAGTCACCATATCATGGTGGTGACTCACCATAGAGCTCGACGTGGGCGGCTGTTATCGTTGCAGCAGAGCTTCTGGAGTCTTCTGTTGGAGTCATCGTGGCACTGAAGCGTCGGCAAGGCGGCTGGAACTCACTGGAACTTTGGAGCGGCGGCTGGGATGTGGCCACGTAGAAACTAGGGTTTAGAAACCCTAGTTGCATCGTGTTGGACCTCCTGTGGACCGTTGGATCTCTCAGATCCAACGGTTGTGATGATGAGGCGGCTAGAGATGATACAAACCCTAAATTGGGTTTAGGGTTTAGATGGGCCAGTTGGCTGATCGGGCCTCTTTGTTTGGGTTTGTAAATTGGGCCTGAGGGTCTTTTGGGCTTCTGATGTAATTTGTAATATATATATATATTTAATAATAAATAATAATAATAATATATTATATTAATAATAATTATAATTATTATTATGAAAAAATTAATGTCTACAGCTGCCCCTCTTTGCTCATTCTTGTGTTAACAAGAATATAGTAAAGACGAAAAAGACAATAATTTTTCATTCGGCTTATTTTAAGTAATATGGAAATGTTGAAAACATTCTGCCCAGAGGTCTTATGAATGACCCCGAGGGTTTAAAAACATCAAAAAGCTCCCGAAGGTTTTTTGGAAACATCATGCACTGCAGGACTTACAGATGACCCTGAGGATTTGAAAACATCAAAAAGCTCCCAAAGGCTTTTTGGAAACATCATGCACTGCAGGACTTTCGGATGACCCTGAGGGTTTGAAAACATCAAAAAGCTCCCGAAGGCTTTTTGGAAACATCATGCACTGAAGGACTTACAGATGACCCTGAGGATTTGAAAACATCAAAAAGCTCCCGAAGGCTTTTTGGAAACATCATGCACTGCAGGACTTACAGATGACCTTGAGGATTTGAAAACATCAAAAAGCTCCCGAAGGCTTTTTGGAAACATCATGCACTGAAGGACTTATAGATGACCCTGAGGATTTGAAAACATCAAAAAGCTCCCGAAGGCTTTTTGGAAACATCATGCACTGCAGGACTTACAGATGACCCTGAGGATTTGAAAACATCAAAAAGCTCCCGAAGGCTTTTTGGAAACATCATGCACTGAAGGACTTACAGATGACCCTGAGGATTTGAAAACATCAAAAAGCTCCCGAAGGCTTTTTGGAAACATCATGCACTGAAGGACTTACAGATGTGGGAAATAGTTTATTAAGTAAAAAAACTAAGGAAATCGTTTTCTTACTTTTCAACAATTTCATTTTTAGAAAAGATTGAATGAGAAACTATGGAAATCGTTTTCTCATTATTTTTCAAAATAACATGTTGATTGGGTAACATGCCCCAATCTCAAGATAAGGTTGTTGGAAATAGTTTACTAAGTAAAAAAACTAAGAAAATCGTTTTCTTACTTTTCAACAATTTCATTTTAGAAAAGATAAAATGAGAAACTATGAAAATCATTTTCTCATTTTTTTTATTTATTTATTTATTATTTTTTTTTTGAAATAACATGTTGATTGGGTAACATGCCCCAATCTCAAGATAATGCTCATTTTTGTGGATTACGTCTATCTATTCTTCAGCTGTTTGCGCGATTCCTGTATTTACGGTTTTGAATACCTTCTTCTTGTAAGGTATTTCTTACCATGAATCTTCTTGTTCTTCCGAAGATCTGTAAAACTTCATGTTTGAATGCACTCAGATGTATCAATGTAATGCATTGTCTATTGTGCAAATGATGTTCTTATGAATGCATGAATGTTGATGCAATCTTCATTTGACTTCAAAGTGGTGAACTTGGTCTTCCTTCACTTCATCATTTATTGCCAGGGTTACCTCTAGATATCAGTGTAGAAACTTATGCTATCAAGCTTGTATTTCTGCAGAATCATCTGATCAACTTGTATCGTGGTGCCTTCTTTGCTTCATTTAATTCTTAGAAGAAATATTTTACTTGTGGAACTCTTATTGTAGTCAAAATTATGACCCTGATGCCCCATTTTATCTTAGATAAAACCAACTTTATTTGCTTGGACTTGTGTAGAAATCCCAGAAGGCTTTCATCTTTGAAAAGAGAATCTATCATCTTTAAAAAGAGAATCTATCATCTTTGAAGAGTGTAGATGTATATATGTGACTCAGCGGGGATTAATTAGGGGAGTAGAGTATGTTCTGATTTGACTCTTGAAACATATCATAAGGAAGATTTATTCCAATTCCTTTCATGTTTCCACATTTAATTGGTTCTCGAACAAGGCAACTTGAACCATATCATGTCGAGATGCTTAACCACAACCTGTCGTTCAAATAGCTTCTTATTGTTAAAATTTCAGCTCTCCCTTATGTGGAAAGAAATCTTCATTATATCTTACTTCTAATCTTGGGGTTGAAGAAGACAAATTTCATCTTGGATCAATAAATGGAAACCATATGATCGTAACATTGGTTCAGCATCAGAATAGCAGGTTCGTAAAACATTTGACAGTGCATTCATCCTTTCCTGTGGCTTCTGCTCATGATGTTCATAAAATATTTGACAACACATTCATCCTTTTTTGTGGCTTCTGCTCAGATGTTCATAAAACATTTGACAACACATTCATCCTTTTTTTGTGGCTTCTGCTCAGATGTTCTCAATCATTGAAGATATTTGCCTAGTGTTCAAAGCTTTTGAATGATGTCACAAAACCATTTGAGAACAAAAACTCAGTGGGGATTCAAGTGTAATGTTGGTAAGACCAAAAAGTTGGTCAAATTCACAAGATATGCTGGTGTCGAATTGAATAGGAGACACTAACTGATCTTGATATCATCTCGGGCAAAGAAAAATGTGATACTGATCACGTTTTCTTCTATAATGATCTTTGTAGGAAGTAGAAACACATCAACTATAGGATCCATGTACAGAACAAAGGTTCATGAAATTCTTGCTGCTGGAGATGAAACGCACGTGATAACCCAAAATAGATAAAAAATCAGTTCAGCCTGGATAACAATAATGACCCCAGTAACAACGAGAAATGTTAATATATGTAAGTCGAGCTTCTTTCTTCAATGT